GGGGGGGGGAATTAATGAATACCTTTTGCAGTACTGCTCTTGCGTTCTTGAGCTCTATATTGAAGCAAAACATATGGATCTATTCCACCACCTGCACCATATATAGCAACACCAATTCATAATACCAACTATTAAATCAAAATATTCAGAAGTTTCGTCCAAAGTAAATCGGGATGTCAGAAATTAAATGACACGAATACTGTTTGAAAAGTTAATCTTTTACTGAATATACTGTATATAATAAAATAATTAATTTATAATACTATATTAAATGCAACTTTGCTCATCCTACAGAAAAGTAGCAATAAACAAAAGATATAATCTTGCATGAGTTCAATTTAATAGAAAGGAAATTTAGGTGAATTTACGCTGAAGCTAAACAAGAGAATGGAAAACAAAGAGAAGACAAGAGTAATGAATCAATACCCCAGAATTCATTGTTCTTGAGACCACGAGCATTGACAAGATTGACCTCCATTGTTCCAAAGATGGTCGACATCTCTCACTTGTCCACAAAGAGAATATGATTCAAAAGAATTTAATTAAGCTCTCTTGTGAATGGCTGAATGAAATGAGCATTCAAATAGAAATGTGGATGGGGCGAAAAAAGCAGAAAAAAATAGCTTCTCTCCAAAAATACTTTTTTGAAAAGCACTTTGAGAAAAATATACTTAGAAGCACTTTTTAAAAACTTGGACAAACAAGTACTTTTCAAAACTAATTAACCAAACACAAATGTTTATCACCAAAAGAAAAAAGTACTTTTGAGAAGAAAACACTTCTTAAAATAAGTTAATTTTAGAAGCTTAGCCAAACAGACTATTAGAAGTACTTTCTAAAAGCTTGGCCAAACACTAATTGTTGCTCAAAAATGCTTTTTAAACAATTAACCAAACACAACTCGCCGAAAATACTTAATAAGACACTTTTCAAAATAAGTTTATTTTAAAAGTTTGGCCAAACACACTACTAAGTTAATTCTGGCAGCTTGTCAAATCACATCATGGATTCCAACTCTAGTGTTTGTAACTATATGATCTTTGGCATTTGTTCCTTTTTCAGAGAATCTCACGCTTTAAGCTGGATGCTTGTACCTTTTTCCTTTTGATCATGAAAATTATGTAAGAAGTATTAATTTTATGTGACGATATTTAACTTGGCATAAAACTTATACTCCTACAATAAATTAGTGATGATTAAAAGAATATTAAACTAGTGATTGAAAAGAAAAAGGTAATAAGTTTTTTTGTTCAAATAGTTTTAACATAATGGTCAAACTAATTGTTGACTAGTGAGTTACTTTTTGACATCAAATCAGCACAACAACGACAACAATCTCAGTGTATTCCCACAAGTGGAGTCAAGTATTGAACTAAAGCCGGAGTCAGCCAAAATGCCAGTGAACTTTATTCACCATCAAAGTGAACAACATGTCTATTATTGTATTGGCAAAAGACAAAGAAAGATTGTACTTTCCTTGCCAAAATCTACAGTTCAATGAGGAACTCATTCATTCTCAAACCATAAATCAAATACAGGCAATGACACTGTTGGCATGCTTCTAAATATAAAAGAATCAATAACACAAGCCCACAAAGAATTGTAAAGCAACTGAGTAACACTTGTTGATCTGGTAATTGCCTCGATAAAACCCCTTTTTCCTGCAAGCATAGATTTGGTGCCTTGGAACTAGAAATTTCAAAGAGTCCTAAAAACTTACTTATCATGTGAACGTGTATGAAGAAAAAAGAACATACGCCCCCAACCGGAGATGTAAGGTTGGGGACAGCGGCATGGCAGAATAGATGTAGATTATTTCTTCTCCACACTACACGATTCCTGAGATGTGCTATCCGTGCATGCATTACTAGCTGGTGGAGGTAGGTCATCTGAAACCCTGATCCAAAACGTTTGCTGTTTCTCTTCGTTCCCTGGAACATGTACGAGAGCTTCCATAATGAGTATCTCCCAGTCACTTGGTCGTAAAAACGATGACCATTTGTCCTCTGCTCCAAGTATTTAAACAACAGCAGTACTAGTTAGACAAGTAGAACAAGTATCTTGAGACAATCATGAACCTGTATGTAACAATAAACGTCTCTCTCTTCTGATCTTTTCTCTACAGTAAAGTAGTAGCAACTCATTCAAAAACAAAAAACCAGTTAGTCTAATTATATTCCGTATTCCTCGTTCTCAATGGAAAGCTAAGCAATCTGAAGATACCTATGATAGTCAAGAAATAATTGATTTACTTAATAGATTTATCAGTTGATAATGGAAAAAAATTGGAACTTTGCAGGAATTTGACCTTATCACCACCACGACTTAAAAACAACGGATAAAATATTCCAAAGCACATTTGGGAATTTTTTTTTTTTAAAAAAAAAGATAGAGAATGTCTACTCCAAGCAAATATCAAAAGAACAGCACAAACCTCCATTACGAACTGCCTTTAACTGAAAAATTCCAGTGCCTTGTGGTCCAGAGACGGGGAATGTGCATGATACAGAATGCCTTTGGTGAGCTACTGCTAATGATGCATTATACCAAGGACCTCTAACAATGGGCTCCCCAATAGCATCTAGAATCGTCTTATTCTTACTGGCTTTCTCCAAGGCCTTGCTGCAAGGGAACAATAAATGATGAAATAAGAAAACTGGAATCTCTATAGCCAGGATATAGAGACAGTAAACCACCGCCTTCCCTCGCTACCCTATCCTCATCCCTACCCAAGAATATTCAGATACCAGCGTATATATATATACCTTGCTGCAAGGGAACAATAAATGATGAAATAAGAAAACTGGAATCTCTATAGCCAGGATATAGAGACAGTAAACCACCGCCTTCCCTCGCTACCCTATCCTCATCCCTACCCAAGAATATTCAGATACCAGCGTGTGTGTGTGTGTGTGTGTATGTATATATATATATATATATATATATATATATATATATATATATATATATATATATATATATAGATATATATGTTTTACATACTTATTTAAAATTTACTACTGCAGGAAATATGTGGAACATAGAAGAAAAAGATCAGTTTTATCTAAAGCATCTTCAGTAAAGAAATTTGTAAGATCAGGTAACTAGCTTGTAAGATCCCGGATTCGAGCCGTGGAATTAGGCATTGATCCTTGCATTCGCGTGGGCTGCCTACATTACAGCCCCTTGGGGGTGCAACCTGCGTGAACGGGATGCTTCATGTACCGGGCTGCCCTTTTCATGGTAACTAGCATCACATATAAGATTCCAGAAACCATGAAAAGGACAGCTGCAATTAGCTCCATTATTCAGGGACATGATTCGTAAAACTTGGTCAGAAATACGCAGAAGAAATTACATGCACTACATCTAAGGGATAAGATGAATATGGAAGAATGGATGAACAACCCAAAATTTCACAAGGGAACTACAACACCAATCAAAAGATTAACTTAATGAAACTACAAACCCAAGTATTAGTGGCTAGCTTAAGTAAAGCTTCAAACAAACTGCCAGTTGAAGTCCATTAGCTGGCATTTAATGCACAAAGTTCAAAAATACACTGTCATACACATTATTTGTTGCATGTTTATAATAGTCTAGAGAAACTTTTCTACTTTTCATAAGATGAACAGACAAAATGTCAACCACTGCTGCCAAAAATTATGGACATAGTAGAGCTCAAAGAAGCAAATTTATGCAGCAAGATTAGTAGAGCTCAAAGCAGCAAATTTATGCAGCAAGATCAGCATTAAAATAAGCCTTTTAGGCTAATTTCATGCTAAATCCTAGTTATTCTGTGTGTTCATCGAGGCAAGCCCATTAAGGGCACCGCGGTTTGCACTCGATGCCTTGTCCATCTTTTCTTCTCTCTTTAAAATTTCAATGTTGCTCCCTCATTTGACTGATGAATATACTTCGCATAAGTTAGGTGTTATACAAGCAACTAAACTCCTTATTTTGAAACATTATTGAAGCTATATATATGTACATAGAAATACTAAACAGGTTTGTCATAATTTCTGAACACAAAAGCTAGTACACATAAATGACATAGATATGCAAAGAAAGAGGAATTTTTTTATTGTAGTCAGAACGAAGAGAGCTTTCAAGGACTTATTTCCTTGTATTGGCTTTATGTTGTCTTAATTTTTCTTCAATTTATGGAAGGACAATTAGGTAATCATCTAGTCACCTAGGCATAGGGTCCGTGCCAATTGAGGAACATAAAATCATAAAATATTTTCCAGCGCCTTTTTCCCAAAAGATGGGCGGGAAGGGGAAGGGGAATAACAGTACAGTTTCAACATTAAACCAAACAGTAGTACTACAATTTGATTCAAAATAGTTTCAAAACTAAAACAGTGTTCTGGTCTGGAAAATTTTCAATGGTACTTTTACGATTTGGTTAGGTTTCATCCCAAATCAAACAAACAGCAATGGCCGCTGTTACCTAAACATTAGTCTATGCTGAAAAACAAAAGCGAATGCCTGGCTAACACCACCATTTTAACAAGGATTTTTGTAACAATTAACCAAAACTTATGTTCATTTTCCCAGCAAACCATATGGCCACTAATTTGTATTTTTTCTAGCCTCCTACCTCTCTCCCTCATGAATATTGACTTCCATTTTAGAAGCAGGAGTTGCTACATTAGCAATGGGGAAGAATTGTTTCTTTTATATTGATTTCATGCACGTTTTACCATAGCAATTTCTTTTGGAGATTGATAAAACAAGATGGATATTTATAGTGTAAGCTATTTGCAAACGATTTTTGTTAATTGGCAAAGCTAGTGAGAAGTCACCCACAAGCTAGAACTATGGAAATATACTCTAGAGGGCAAGGATGTTGTGATAAATAGAGTAAAGAAATAATTGATGTGCTGCAAGTTTAGCCGGTATAAGAGAAATGGAGTGAGATGAAATTAAACAGGATTATGATGCCTAAACATAGACAACTCATACTTAGTGATGCATCACTTAGTCATGAATAAAATGCAACGGAAGCCAAGTATCCACAGAGGTGATATCAACTAGCTGTGTGATTAGATTCGTCATTGCAGGTACCCCTACACTAAGTCTAGTCTTTGACGAGACATATTAGTTTGGGTAAAAATTGTATGCTAAAGTAGGAATAAGTGTGGGGCCGAATCCTAGTTTCATAAAACCCCTAATTTATCCTAAAGAAAAATTATTGGATATTGGAACGAAACTGGGCTCGTACGGAGGGAAAATTGATATTGAGGATTCAAATAACCAACCCCAGATAATATTGAGGCGTACTAGTTGAAAAGTCAAAACTCTAGGTATTCACAGCCTTCCAAAGTGTGGAAATCGGAAATCTAAAACTTTTTAATCAGATCTGCACCTCCCTAACAAACCTTAGTCATGAGGAGCCGAAATCTAAAACTTTCCTTTATCATTTCTTCTTACCCTTCACTGCATAAATGTGCCAACTTGCAGATCATTTATAAGGCATCTATGAGAAGATAATAGATTTCATCAATGCAAGGTTAACACCCAAACATAACCTTTCAACAATAATAGTTTTTCACAGTGTTGTCAAATAGGTGAGCAAAACATGATATAAAAA